CTGCCAATAGTTTAAAGAAAGTCAAAACACTGAACTGGCAGAAGTACTGGAACTAAGCATCTGGAGCTAGAGTTTGTTGAAGTAGTAACCCAGCTTTTGTCAACAGCAGCTTCTTCTGCAGATGCAGAGAGAAGATTCTCTTCATTTCAGTTTAATTAGTTCAGTTCTGTGACCAGTCGATTCAAAGGTAAAAAACCACTGTGAGCTTTAAAAACAGGAAAACTTTAAGAATAAACTGTAAGAATAAAACTGGGTTTGAGAGGATGAGATCTACTAATTCTAAAATTTTGAAGGACATGGTGACTAGAAATAACCAGTTCAATTCACTAACTGCAGGTCCTACTTCCTTTGTTTAGTAAATCAGTTATTTTTAAATGCAAAAAATAAATGTTTTGATAAATGTTTTTCTTACGTATCCAGCACATTTAAGGTAATTTTCTTTAATAAGAAAATCATAAAATGCTGTTTAAGCATTTAAATTGAATTTGAATTTCCATCCATGCAGAGTCTGAGATAAATCAGAAGTAAGAAAATAATAATCTAATAAATAAGAAATGTATCATTCACTATTTTCTAACATAAAAATTGAGAATCTGAATAAATAGAGATATAATTACTTAAACGTGTTAAGATACACTATATCTTGGATTGTCAAAGGAGCACCAAATTTAGTTTAAAAGCTATATTTAGTTGCAAATTGGCATGTTTTAATGGTACCAACCATGGAGAATCAGCCTTTCTTTAGAAAAATAAAAATACTAATGCAAGCTATGATTAAAATCAATTATGTTAATAAGGTTTCCTGCTTGCTGATTTTAATTGATGATTTAAATTACTTTGACTTAAATCAATCCGCCATGGAAGCTGAAGAATACATTTGGTATTGTACATCCAAGGACTGTGGAACTTCAGAGCAGTTAACTGTTTCCTGCTGTAATAAGTGGCCAATACATACCTCCTCGTACTGTGTAATTCACAGAGCAGTAGGTGGTTCAATTTAAGTCTGGGAGAGGCCTGGCTTCAGTGATGCTATGCCTTGTTAGAAGAAACAAGAGCCCATCTCTAGCAGCCACAGTTACCAGAGTTTTTACAGGAAAAGCTGATCTCCTTTTGAAAATTCAGATTATCAGGGGTAGCTATCCTTTTCCTTCTAGATCTGCTACTGAAATTGTGCTTCACTTCACCTGATAGGTGCAGAATTTTCATTATGACTGTTCTGAAATACACTATATTGCATAGTTGGAAAGCACTATAATTACTCTCTTGCTGAAGACCTGGGTCCAGTTTCTTTTATGCTAGTGTAACTCCATTGGCTTCAGTTATCCTAATTTACATGGGTTGCTGAATGGGAGATGAGGTGCATGATGTATGTAACCCACACTCCTCCTGGGTGTGGTGCTCTGTCCCCTCTAGTGGCACCGAGACCACTTAGAGATTAATGAGTCTGCTATAGCCTTAGCTAAGAGCCATGTGGCTTTTAGCTCATGTAGTAGAGGCTCATATACTAAGCTCCAGAGGTCCCAGGTTGGGTAAAGATACTGAATTGGACTCCTATATACAAGAGCAATTTTTCTGTGGTTGTTGGCATGAAAACTTATTAAATACACTCTTAATAAAAGGGATTAATTGTAGTGGTAGAAAAAAGAGCGTCTCTTATGCCACACTCCTTTTTGAGGTGAGATCTATTAAAAGGGAGCCCTCTAATAAACAAAAGAGAAAACTTCGATAAGAACTAGAAGAAAAAGGAAGCATGTCCTAAGCTTCAAAGGCTTCCCAGTTGATATCCCAGACAAGTCCCCACTTGTAATGCTGACAGACCCTGGTTGTTGGTGGGCAGGATCAAATCTGGGATCTTTGAAACTAAATGCATGAGCTTTTACTGCATAAGCCACATGGCTTTTAACTAAAGCTCTCAGACTCATTAATCTCTAAGTGGTCTCGGTGTCACTAGAGGGGACAGAACACCACACCTAGGAGGTGAGTGAGTTACATGGACACTAAATCTTTCAAGGTGTTGTCTTCAATTTATGGCTTAGGTGACTTCAGCTGCGATCTCCTCACATACTCTTGCACAGAAAGCAGCAATGTGATTGGTGTTCTGAATAATTTTTCCCAGATTTGTCATTTCTGAGGCAAACAGGCACAGACTTGGTGTAGGTGGAAAGGATTTCTGAAACTGCAGCCAGTTCCATGTGGGAACGGGAGACAGAGAGAGCTGTGGGTCTATAGTGGAAACAAAGCTTTCTTTTGTGAATTAGTATTCTCAGTTTAAAGAAACATTTGCTTTAGTTAAACATGTTTCACTCCAAATAGAAACATCTGTTTCTTATCTCTAAATTATCCATAATAACTTGTGTAATTGTTCTTACATAACTAGCTGTCTGTGGCAATTTACAGCCCAAGAGGTGTTCTAGTAATTAAACTCATCCTCTTACTTTATGGGAATGACTTTTGCATACTACGTATGAACAAGTGGAATAGAAGGAAGAAACTATTCAAATCACTGGTCATGTACCATAAGTGCTGTTGAACAACCTGCCTAATCAGACAGAACTAGATTGGTGGGCTGAATAACAGACTTTATTTTAAAGTCCAGCACTTAGGGTTAAAGTTTTCAAAAGAGCCTGAGTGATTTAGGAGCCTAATAGCTTCGCTGTGCCAATTTAACCACTTAGGCCTGGTCCCCACTAAGCCCCCACTTCGGACTAAGGTACGCAAATTCGTAGCTGAATTCGAAGTACCTTAGTCCGAACTTACCGCGGTCCAGACGCGGCAGGAAGGCTCCCCTGTCGATGCCGCGTACTCCTCTCGGCGAGCTGGAGTACCGGTGTCGACGGCGAGCACTTCCGGGATCGATCCCAGAACATCGATTGCCTGCCGCCAGACCCTCCAGTAAGTGAAGACGTACCCTTAGATTCTCCTCAAACCTTTATCTTGTACATGACACGTTGTCAATCATGTTCAATTTAGGGGTAGAATTTTCCAAAGTGCTTGAGGGACATTTTACTTGTGGTCTGCTATTGTGGACAGTGAGTTATGTACAAGACAAAGATCTGAGGAAAATCTAAGTTATGGTCTGTGCATCGCATCACTGGGGAGAACACATCAGGGTAGATGTCAGGATAGTGATAGATATGTAAAATTATGGCTCTCAAATTTCCTGAGACCAGGGATTATTTACGATATTTTCCAAAATTCACGGGACAGTCCCATTAAATGCTTTAACAATTAATCAGAATGTCTCTTTTTCTACCCTTTTCCTCTGCTTTCTTTTTGGCTCTGTCTGGGCTTCCCCCAAGAAACTCTTCAAACTATCAAAAAGAATGAAGAGAACTTGTGACGCCTTAGAGACTAACACATTTATTTGGGCATAAGCTTTCATGGGCAAAAACCCACTTCATCGGATGCATGCAGTGAAAATACAGTAGGAAGATATATATACACAGAGAACATGAAAAAATGGGTGTTACCAACTCTAACGAGACTAATCAATTAAGGTGGGCTATTATCAGCAGGAGAAAAAAAAACTTTTGTAGTGATAATCAGGATGGCCCATTTCAAACAGTTGACAAGAAGGTGTGAATAACAGTAGGGGGGGAAATTAGCATGGGGAAATAGTTTTTACTTTGTGTAATGACCCATCCACTCCCAGTCTTTATTCAAGCCTAATTTAATAGTGTCCAGTTTGCAAATTAATTCCAGTTCTGCAGAGAAACTTGGGAACTTGCTAGCTACCAACAGCTGCTTCTGGGAAAGCATTACTGTTTCCTGATTACAAGCATTATTAAGATGCATGAGGACTTAGGGGAAGTCCCCTAATTTAAATACACCTCTACTCTGATATAACGTGGCCCGATATAACATGAATTTGGATATAACACGGTAAAGCAGTGCTCTGGGGGGGTGAGGTTGCACAGTCCGGCAGATCAAAGTAAGTTCGATATAACGCGGTTTCACCTATAATGCGGTAAGATTTTTTTGGCTCCCGAGGACAGTGTTATGTCGGGGTAGAGATGTAAATAGGGGAAGAGGAGAGCCCAGGATTCCTGTAATACAGCACGTAACTCGGCTTCCTGCTGTAGGGCTGCTTCTTCTTTTTTTTTTTTACATCTAACAGGCTATCAGCTGTGATCTGGCTAGTTTACAAATCTAAAATGCTGAATAAATATTTTGATTGGCCTCTAGAAAAACATTACTTGGAATTTAAAGACATTGCAGTATCATGTGATGTGGTTATGGTGTTAGACTTGTTCACTAGTAAGATTTTAATGTATTATCCTAGCCCAAATCTGTATACATTCTAGATCTTTTACTAGACACAAGAACAGTGTCTCATCTCAGCTACTTCTTAGGTTTGAACAGAAAAATAATCTCTTTTGCCCCCTTAAATCTATTCACCTCTTTTGAATTATTTTTCTCAAACTCTCCAAAAAATACTCACTTTGGGTCAAGACAAAACCTGAAAAATGTTCAGCTCAAGGTGACTTCTAAAAAAGTTATGAATATATGTTCTGAGATTATAATGAACGTGTGTTCACTGTAATCTCTATTGCAGTCACTCCTATGGCACTGTTCTAATACAGAATACTTTCTAACATGATGAATGTTCAAGTTGCTCATCTTTTGGTACTAACGCTGTCCATAAAGCCCATATGTTGACTAACAAGCATAAGAAAAAAATTCATTCAAGAATCTTTTTCTTGACTCAGCATATTAATAACTGTAATAGCTTATTTAGTTTTGCTTAACTATAAAAGTTTACTGTAACGAGGGCTGTCTCTAGGTTTTTTGCCGCCCCAAGCAAAAAAAATTTTGCCTGCCCCCCACCCCAGCTCTGGGCTCTTTTACCCCTCCCTGTGTCCTCCCCCACCCGCACCCCCTGCCGCCCCAGCCCTGGGCCCTTTCTTCTGCCTCTCCCCTCCCCCCGCACCCCAGCTCTAGGCTTTTGCTGCCCAAAGCAAAACAAAAAAAGATGGCCGGAATGCCGCCCCTGAAAATGTGCCGCCTCAAGCACGTGCTTGATTTGCTGGTGCCTAGAGCCGGCCCTGACTGTAACCACTTAACCAAAAATATTTTCCACGCTAGCCTTGATTGTTTGAAGCAATTCTGCCAAAGGCCACTAGATGTCCCTACTTGACTAGTTTGTTCAATAAAAAAATGGTCATGTGATGTTCGGACTTACATTTATGCACCTTTCACCATTTAACTTTGTTTACCGTATTGACACTGGTGCATCCTTGCAGCTTAGCAGGTGTGTATGCAAGATAACTATTCTCTTTGTTTACTGTTTTGGAATTGTGTTGGAGTATTGCAAAACCTGTGCTCAACTTAAATGCTGAGCTCTTGGGCAGTGCTTAATTTGTAATGAAAGAGGGGCTGAGACTCAAGCAATTAGGTGCCGGGGTTCAAGAAATTTTCTTACTTTCATAACTGACATGCAAAGCCCATAGGGCCGGGGCTACAAACTGCCTACTTAGAGGTGCTGGGTCTGAGCCCTAGCGAGCCCCAGCACCAATTAAGCACTGCTCTTGGTTAATACTGGAAGTGTTTAGAAGCTTCCATGTATGTACAAACTAGTAAATGTTTTATATAATTAACCAGGTATCTGGCAGCTGTAAGACAGCATCTCCATGTATTTCTGTGAGAAAGGAGAGCATGTATAGATAACCAGTTATTTTTGAATATATTTAAACTTGATGTTTAATTTTAACAGCTATATGGGGCTTTAAGTCCTACCAGAAGCTTTAAGTACCCAACCTGCTATATTACTTTTAAACTACTAGTAAATATCAGAATTTTAAAAATATTTTATGTTATCTTATTTGTCTTTATGGTAAACCAAACATGAGAACGCCAGTTCTGCAAAGAATCTGTTGCAGGAGAGGCATCCGCTTCCTCCAGAGTAGAAGGTCAGACCACTTTCTTCTTTTTATAATTAAAGTATAGATCTGCTGCTAGATCAGGAGCAATGGATTACAAGGAGAAGAAGGCTGAAATCCTTTACAGAAAAGCATTTCACTATCCAGATAATACTGCTATAAGTAGAGGAATGGCACAGTTGGGAAAGAATAGATTAAAAAACCAAACAAACACACAGGAGCAGAATGTAGGGTTGCCGGGCAGCCCCATGCCAACAGCTCCTCCGGCATGACTGTACTGCCCCTGTCTTCCACGGAGCTGTACAGACCTCAGACAGGAAACATAGCTGCATGGAAGGGCTGGGGGCGATACAGCCGTGCCAGGGGAGCCGGGTGCAGTTCAGAAGTCTGTATCCGGTGCAGTGGGAGGACAGAGGTTCCCTACCCCACACCCGCCCAGGTAAGGTGGAATGGGGAGAGCACAGAGGCCCTAGGCAGGGAGGACTCACGTGTGGGGGGATCATATGCCACCCCTTTAGCTTGTGCCCCCCTTTGTGTTCCTCCCATAAGTCACCTACGCACTACTGGATCCAGGAAACTGCAGACCAGTAAGCTTAACACAATTTCTGCTCTGCAAAGGTACTGGGTGGGAGGGAATGGAAGGGGCAGGGGATTGCACTATGTTTCCATATCAAATATGATCAGTTTATAAGTTAAAAGGGGGTGAAATGGGAGTTTCTAGTTGTTAGCCCTGCAGACTAATCCTGGGCTTTCAGAACCAAGATTATTTCTTTCCTTCTTGCACATAATTGAGGAGTAAAAGGCTCTGCAGATACAATTATGCTGTTAGTGACCTCTTGCAATTCCATAGCAAGCCCATTAAAGCCATGGGTATAACTATCTGAAATGACCAAAACCATTTTGTTGGTGCGAAAGAGAACAGAACCTTCTTAGCTGTTTTGACTCTGCAAGGCTAATATGAGTAGAAAGTTAACACTTTTTTGTCATGAAAGACAGCACGTGTGATTACACAAGAAGCAGATCTCATGGGTAAGAAGGTGCCACTTTTATGTACTCTTCAGAATAGAAGCACAATTGACTTTCAGTACATTTTCTAGAAGGTTTAACGGGTAATGAAGCGGTCCCTTTGTAAGAGCTGACATGAAAAAGGGTAGTCAGAGAAGTGAATGACAACTAGGGATCTAGTCAAGCAAGTCATTATGACACTCTGGTTTATAACAAGCTGAACAGAAAGTGGGTAAACATCTCTAGATGTTTGGTTTGGTTCCACATGGCCCTGGGAGCAAACCTAAAGATATGTGGATTAGATTAAACTAAAATACTCATTAGGATTTAAAGGAACATGGTCATCTGGGGAAATTAGTCTTTTTAAAAAACAGTAACATTTAAGATTACCGTAGACCTTAGTTCCTCTTGTGCCACTGTCACATTGGGCAATCCAGCTCCTCCATTGATTATGGGCACTCACTAGTAGTGGTACTTCTTCCTAAGTGATGCCAGCACATTCAGCATCCTCGGTCACTGTCTTCTGCCCATTCTTCCTGGGCTTTCCTCGCTTTCTTTCCTCCCTGGGTAAGTTCAGATGGGGGATAATATGTGACTTCCCCCCCCAAGTGGATCAGTTTGCCTAGACACCAGAGGTTGTCAGATGTCCAGTGTAATTGTTCCCTAGTTGTGTTCCTGGGCACTCTTTTAAACATACTTATTGTGGTTTTATAATGGCAGTGGGATTCTGGCATGTGGGTGGCTTCTGACACAACTTCACACATCTTTTGAGTCCTATCACTATGGGGAGGTGCTGGCGGGTACTGCCTCCCAGTCAGAGCACCTAGCACTGTGTTCTGCTATAGAATGCCTGCTGTCCTGATCTCTTGACAGCAGGACTGCTTCTGTCATGACAGCAGCGGGCTCCAAATCTCTGCTTTCTGTCCCTGCACTGGGCAAAGGCAGGGCAGAGCTGGGCCCAGAAAGCTACCTCCTTACTAAATGAGCACCAAAGATGGGTAGGGCCTTCCAGGGGCCACATGGAAGAAGGATGGGGGAGGGGGGAGTGCTGGGGCTGGCCATGGGACATGTGGGCAGAAGAGGACTGCAGGGCAAAAGGGGAGCACAGATTTTGCAGGGTACAGGTGAAAAGGCTGCCTGCAGGGATGGGGTTACTAGGGATTGTGGAGTACAGTAGGGTGGGAATCATTGGAGCTGGAGGGTTGTTGGGGGCCTATGGTGGGGTAGTGAGAGGTGCTATGGGAGCAGAAGTAAAATGTTTGCAGTTGGAAGCGGTGTTGGGGTAATTGGGCAGACAGACCTTGAGGAAAAAAGGACCTAAGGTGGGGAGGGGTGGAAAAGAGAGAGAGAGAGTCAATGAGAGCACCTAGCTGCCCTGATTGCTGAAGGCTTTAGCCTGGGTAAATAAGTAATCCTACTCCTAGGTCTCTAGGCAGGAAGCCCACAGATTGAGCGGATCCATAACAGGCATAGGGCAGAGTGCATAATAAGCACCCTCTTGATCAAAGGTACAATGCTACCTATGAAATAAGCTCTGACTGAAATTTACCTGCTGGGCTTATTCCCTAGAACTCAGTTAATGGATTTCCACCATGACCTCGGACTGCAATGGGGAAAAAATTCTAACTAAAATTTCCCCTCTCAGCCAAAATGAAACATAGTTTGTTTCAGAAACAATGTAGCTGTCTAACCTGCAACTATCCCTTTGTTAATAAGCAAAACACAGGGCCAACATCTGACCAGATTCTCACCCCTTGCTGCTTAGGTTCTGTCACTGCAGAGAGGCAGCACAGGAGTAACTAGGGCACTGGCTGGGGAGTCAGGAAATCTGAGTTTGGTTCCTAACTCTGCCACTGACCTGCTGTGTGACCTTGGATGAGTCACTTCCCCTCTCTCTTCCCCTCCAACCTTCTGTCTGTCTTGTTTGTTTAGACAGAAAGCCCTTTAGGTCAGGGATGGGCTGTTTGTACAATGCCCAGCACAACAGGCCTCGGTCTTTGCTGGGGTCTTCAGGGGCTATTGCGATATAAAATAACCTCGCCTGGTAAAGTTCTGAAGTCAGAAATGTAAATTCTGTCTCTGATATGGTGCTTGGAAGGGGCAGGGGAAGATGAACCGTTTAATGAGCAGACAGTAATAGGGCCTATGAGGCAAGGTCCATCTCTCTGATCTATGTCTGAGGCTAGAATGGGTGGATTGGCATTCTTTTGTGTGGTTATGGAGGGGGCAATATCCATCTGCATATTCACCCTCTTCAGGGTGGGTTTAGCTCTAGTAGGAAATTCTTACAGTACTTGAGGTGGTAGTATACTAATAGTAGAGTCCTCTTAAAATAACCAATGTAAAGTTGGTTGTAAAACACTGGAATACAACTTAGAGAACTAAATTTACTGTGGCTTCCAAATAGTATCAGTTCTGGTGCTCCAAAAATGAAGTACATCTCAAACATGCATATTCTCCATGTAAATCCTGAGTACCCACTTTGGAAGGTTTGACCCCTGAGACTTTCCTCTTCATTGCAGTAGAGCAAGATGCTGCTACTGGCTGCATCATTAAAATAAAAGGACACCATATAAATAGGTAGGGGGAAAGTATTTGACTTATCTGACTTTAAAATCTACTAAGAAAATTTCTTCTTCAATAGAAGATATGTAGGTGGTGAGGGGCTTGTCAGATGAATTCTTAATTCTGGAGAAGCTGAACTTTTCAGCAGTATATCTCAAAAGAATATGTATGAGACAGGAGTCCTGAAACAATAGCTGACCTAAAGCCGTGCAATTCAGATCTCAGAACATATGAGGAATTATGAATTTATCTGTTTCTCCAGTGCTGCTTGACTTCCACAGCCATAACTGTAGAGAGAGGTTATGTAACGTATGCTCATGGACTCACCTCCTCTGAGGGAAGAACAGAGACTACTTATTTAGAGACTTCCACTGGCTTTTTTGTCGGGGCTTCCAGAAAGGGAGCACTGGTTCCCTAAATGGATTAAGTAGGGTAGACGGAAAGCAAAGCTCAGTAGCTCTGTACAGCTTAGGAGAAACACGGTGCTAAATATTTATAAGTGTATTTCATAGGGAACTCTATAACATAGTAGGGTTGGTGTTTCTTTAGCCAATATCTAGGACAGGGGTGGGCAAACTATGGCTCGCGGGCTAGATCCGGCCCCTCAGGGCTTTGGATCCAGCCAGTGGGATGGCCCCACACCGCTCTGCAGAAGCAGCCAGCACCACTTCCTTGCAGACCCCAGGCGGGGGGGGGGCAGAGGGCTCTGTGCGTTGCCCATGCCTCCAGGCACCGCCCCACCGCAACTCCCATTGGCCGAAAATGGGAACTGTGGCCAATGGGAGCTTCGGGGGAGGTACCTGGAGGCATGGCAAGGGCAGCGCATGCGGAGCCCTCCCCCAGGGGCCGCAGCACTTCCTGGAGCAGCGCAGGGAGCCTGGCGCCCTGGCCCCAGTGCACGCCACTGCCACCCCGGAGCCGCTTTAGATAAGCGGCACCGGGTCGGAGCCCAAACTCCTCCTGCACCCCGCCCCCAACTCCCTGCCCGAAGTCCCCTGCCTGTACCCCCTGCTGCATCCTGCCCCCCAACTCCCTGCCCGCACCTCGCACCCGTCCTGCACCCCAACTCCCTGCCCTGAGCTCCTTGCTGCACCATGCACCCCAACCCCCTGCCACACCCCACACCCCTCCTGCACCTCAACACCCTGCCCTGAGCTCCTTGCTGCACCGTGCACCCGAACCCCCTGCCACACCCCGCACCTCTCCTGCACCTCAACACCCTGCCCTGAGCCCCCTCATGCACCCCGCACTCCTTCTCAACCCCAATCCCTTGCCCTGAGCCCCTTCCTGCACACCGCACCCCGTCCCGCACCCCGCACTCCTTCATGCACCCCAACCCCCTGCCCTGGCCCTGCATACAATTTCCCCACTCAGATGTGGCCCTTGACTCAAAAAGTTTGCCCACCCCCCGGTCTAGGATGAAGGTTGGATATGAGGCTCATACTCAAGCTGTTCAAGCTTCTGAAGTTTTCAGTCCCTTCCCTGCAACCACTTTATTTTTGTTCAAGTTTAAAATGTACCTTCTCCCCTGAGGTTTGTGTTACAAAGTGAACAGTGCTGTCTGTACAGTGCATTGATGTGGTGACAGGAGCTGGCTGGAACGTTCAGAGTGATGCTCTAAATCTGGTGGAGCTGTGACTTGAGTCTGGGGTTCCTACATACCAGACCAATGCCCCAGCCACCAGGCTAGAGAGTAGAAGAGTGTCTCATCAGAAGTGACAGGGACCCCAAAAAATCTGCCCAAATCAAAAGTGCTGGTTTTGCTCCCAAAACCAGCCATTTTGGCACAATTCCATTTTTGCAAAAATGTTAAAAAGGCTTTGGTTTTGTTCCATCGTGGAATGAAAACAAACTTCTAAACCTCAAGTTGCAGTGAAACGGAATTGTCTTCTTCCAGCCAGCTCTAATGATGACACAAGGTAGTTGGGAAATCTATGAATATCTTCCACCTCGCGAGGGAATACCAGAATTTAAATAACTTCTGATGTAGCAGTTGCCATGTTAGCATAACTTTTCTCCTGAACATTACTAGGGCAAATGTTACATTTTTTCACATCCTGGGCAATCCCACTGATGTATGAGATACAAGACAAGGCAGAACTTGGCTTTCACAAAGTTAGCAGCACCTTTCCTAGCTACTGGTCCTTGCTGCATCTTCTGACAAAAGCATTTCACTTCTAAGAAATTTCCTATACTTCATTTTATTGCCTCTATTTTCTTGAATTGTCTGAGGTGGAAGACTACCATATAGAGAATACTCTTAGCAATTTGCACAACTGTGATAGGGTTGCGTGTTCACACACCCAACTTTTCTGTGGCTGGTTTACGATGGCGCTCATCAACACAGTGAGTCAACCCTATTTGTCAGATTTTTACACCGTGCCCACGCAGTGTGAATAAAATCCTTTAGACAAAGCTATATAAGGAAATGGATGGAAAAGTTGAAGATCATTTCATTTGGTCCTATTCAGTTCAAAAGCTGAAAAGAATTGTCATAATAAAACAGTTTTGGGGAATCATGCTAATATGGGGAGGGAAGATCTTGAAGCCAGTTTCTGCTGGTCTCTTGGTTTCTGTCCAAGAATAAATAGTCCCAGGAACCAGCAGACCTGTTTGCTATATACCTCTCAACCTGGCAAGACCCAGATATGGGCAAATGTGTGACAAAGATCCACAATGAGGGACAAAAAATATGATTTATGCAGGAAACTTAAAATGCTGTGAGATTCCTTTTTTATGAATGCATTTATTTGTAACTTAGAGCTAACTATTAGCCTTAGTATTCACTGGAGTTTTTAAAATTTAAAAAGCCTAGTCAGTTCCCCTTAAGGTGCTATGAAGATGTAAGAAAACATAACTTTGAGAGAACCCTAGCTGTCTTTTTTGATTATGCGCTTTTTGTGCAGCCCTTTGAAACATTCCCATGCAGTGAGGGGCAAATGCCAGAAGTTTCTGGACTTTTTGCAATGCTACCGTCGGTTCACTAGTCTACTCTGACTTGGGAGATGAAAGATCAACCCTATATTTGAAAATAGGGACGGGGAGTTAATCATGCCTGATGCTGAACTGTCACTTCTTTCTTTTCAGCGTGTTCCATGGGAAACAGTACGAGCAGGCTATATAGCGCTCTTGCTAAGACGTTGAACAGCAGTGCGGCCTCCCAGCATCGGGAATACTTGGAACAGTCAGACTCAGAGCAGCTGGATCCCATAGATCCTAAAGCTCTGCTTCAAGAATGCCAGGCAGTTCTTCAAAAACGCCCTCCCCGACTCCAGAGAGACTTTGTAGACCTGAGGGCAGATTCTACCAGCACCCGTCGTCCCATTAGGGTCATGCAGTGGAACATTCTTGCACAAGGTATGAACCTCGTATAAATCTCCAACTTGAGGTAGTCCCCTTGGAGCTAGATGCTGTTGAAAATGAATTGTATGTATTTTTTTTAATGTAGATATAGTGCGTTTGCACAGAGTACAGATATATGGAATTGGGAGGGTTAGGGCAGAGACGCATCTAATTCGGAAGGAATAGCAAAAATAGAAAGCTTCTGGATCTGAATTCATGTGACCTTCCCTGCACAACAGTCACACAAACATTTCCTTTTCTTGTAGTTATAAAACTGAAGCTACTTAATGTGAATACAAGGTATCTCCTATTAAGTTGAGCTGCACACCACTATTGGATCCTTAGTGACCTCCAAAAAGTAGACTTGCCCTCTATACTACTACTTTTGAAGTTGAATTATAACACATTCAGATCATCCTGTGGCAATGTATTAAAAAAAAAACTAGTTAAACTTGGTTCAGAGTTCCAGGAATTTTTTCATTTGTCTTGGTTATTGATACTTGGAAAAGCACATTTGAAGTGGAATAATTGTGTTTATAGTGGTACTTTCCACATTGTGCACTCAGTGCTGAGGGTTGAACTGGGCACAGTGGCCTCATCTCGCCTTCTCTCTGCACATTTTTTTTAACTTTTGAAAAGACCATATTGAGATTAAGAATATTGTCAAATAGCTCTCCTATCTAGTGTCCTTTCTGCCTTGTAACATCTTCCAGACGATAGAGTAAACACAATAGCATGGAAGAGACTTAACAAGAAATACTACAAGATGACATAGCAGCCACATATGCTAATCTAGTTTAAAGCAACTTGTAATTTTTGGGGTGCCCTGTGTGACACGCTTCTTTACAAAGGCGTCGGTGTATAGAGGTTGTTTTTATTTTTCTTACCAGACACTTCTGAAAATCACACCCCTTTAAGGCATCTCAGATTGATCATCCAAAATCAGTAGTCACTCCTGCAAACTGTGGCCACAAATATTTATAACTTGGAGCAGCAGCTCCAATCCAGTCTGGTATCTATGGCCTAGAAGTATGCCACAACTTTTGCACACATGTATCCTACAAAGCAAGGTAATAAAATCTCCTGGCAAAATGGAGACAATATGTCCTATAAACCACACTTAAAATTAACTTAACATTTAAATCCATTTGGGGTTAGGTCCAGATTTTGAGTAGAACTCTGCATACTACTTAACTGTAGCTGGCAGTATGTTTACAAGGGAGTCCCTTGTTTTCACCGGCCCACGCAAGTCTAAGTTAGGGAGGGGATGATTTTCTTTGGCAATTAATAGGTACTGATGGATTTTTCATTCCAGCTCTTGGAGAAGGCAAGGACAACTTTGTTCAGTGCCCCATGGAAGCTCTCAAGTGGGAAGAAAGGAAATGCCTCATTCTGGAGGAAATCCTTGCATACCAACCAGACATTTTGTGCTTGCAAGAAGTGGACCATTTTTTTGATACCTTTCAGCCACTCCTTAGTCGGCTAGGCTACCAGTGTACTTTCTTCCCTAAGCCATGGTCCCCCTGTTTAGATGTGGAACATAACAATGGGCCAGATGGCTGTGCCTTGTTTTTTCTCAAGGACCGCTTTACATTGATCAACAGTGTTAATATCCGTCTAACTGCAATGAAGCTAAAAACCAACCAAGTGGCCATAGCCCAGACGCTGAGATGCAGTGAAACTGGGAAGCTGTTCTGCATTGCAGTCACTCATTTGAAAGCCCGTACTGGCTGGGAGAGATTTCGATCAGCACAAGGCTGCGATCTTCTACAGAACCTAAAAAATATTACCCAAGGAGCAGAGATCCCTCTAATAATCTGTGGAGACTTCAATGCAGAGCCCACCGAAGAAGTTTACAAGGAATTCTCTAACTCCAGTCTCAACCTGAATAGTGCTTACAAGCTGCTGAGTGCAGATGGGCAATCAGAGCCTCCTTACACTTCATGGAAGATCCGGCCCTCTGGAGAGTGCAGGCACACACTGGATTATATCTGGTATTCCCAGCATGCCTTAAATGTAAACTCTGCTCTTGGCTTGCTGACTGAAGAACAAATTGGACCCAACAGGCTGCCATCCTTCAATTACCCTTCAGACCACCTGTCTTTGGTGTGTGACTTCAGCTTTAATCAAGACCCTGACAGGCTTTTATAACTTGTTTAAACTCCATATGGTATTGCAGTGTCTTAACTCACCATTTTTAAAGAAACTTTTGATGAGGCTGGATTTACTTAAGGATGGGGTATATGGATGGCTTAATATATTTTCAGGCATGTACTTGAAAGTAACTTTGCCATTCAAACCTTATAATTTGAAGCCTCCAAAGGAGGAAAAAGGAGTTGACTGCCAATTTTTGAGTTGCGATGGTTTTGTTCAACATGTGCTTTGCCACATCTTAGTTTGAAAATTGGAGGGGAAACTGCATTCTTTCTCCCTTCATTAACTCCTTTGTCTAAGGACTGAATCAATCCTGAAATGAATGTTCAGGCCTTTAGTTCTCAAGCTAAGAATTCAGTGTATATGTACACAAACAAAATTAGCATGCTGTCAGGGCAAGTTTTAATGTTTCCCCTTGGTGAACATGCAAGGGTAAGAGGCTTGACTATATAAGTGTTTTTATTTATTTTTATATTGATGTGTAAGCAATGCAATTGACCAAGTTGTGTTAAGTCTAAATGTAGGAAACACATGCATTTCAGACACACAAGCAGATCTAGGAAGGCCCTAGTAATTCTGAAATGATTTGAGATGGGAGAATTAATCTGTGTTTTAAGAACTGATAGCAGCTTCCATAGAGCATGTAATGTGATGCAAAGCCTACTCCAGTAGGAGTGCCTAAGAGAGGAGACTTGACCATAGTGTATGATGTAGTAGTACCTTCAGTTTTGCAGAAAATGTGCCTGCATCAATGCATATGTGGCCTGTAGAGACACAAAGTTGTAACTACTATTTTCCCTGCACTTCCTTTCAAAGGACATACTTAATCCAGGAATATTTTGCCTGTCAGTTTAATGCCACACATTTCTAAATGGTTTAAATTTATAGTCTTATTTAGTCTTGTCATAGTTTTACTAACTGTTTTGATAAAGGTCCGATCTTCATGTTAAGCCCCACTTCCCCTGCCTTTTTTTGTGTATGTTGCATTGCATTTTGAAGACTTAACACTGGCATTTTTAGAAAATGGTAAACAATGTATTGAGAGGGACTGATGGCTCTGCCTCTGCCATTATAAAACACAGGACAAAAAGGGTTGGCAGCAGTCTTGAGTTTCTCTTTTTTGTGGGTAAGTGGAACTCTAGCAATGCATTAAACTATGGGAGGGAGAAAAATATTAGTATAAGCAGCTCTTGCCAGCCTTGCTAAGTGGGGAGTGCTTTTCTCCACCAAGAAGGTCCTGTAGCTATGGGTTGTGAATACAGCAGTGAGGGGTTTTTGTTGAAGTAGAGGTGGCGAGGGAGGGAATGGTGGCTGGAGTGGGGAAGCCATGGGGCTGACTTTCAGCGGGTGGGGGGAAAAGGAACCACACAGAGGGCAATTCCAAGCTAAAGCAGTATTTCATTTCAAGTAATGTTACTGGCCCATTCTGAATTGTAAGTGTTCCAAATACATTAATAAATGGCCTTTTAAAACAATTATCAGTGTAATGTCTTCTTGCTAAGGTGTCCGAATATCACAACTTTCAAAGACATATTTTTCAGAAATTGTCTGCGGTGGTGACATGTCCATCCCCATTAGAGTTACCACCACCATGGAACTATAGACTCCATTTGGTGAGGCAGGGACAAAAAGGCAGCCAGAACCCACAAAGAAAACTTATGAGAAATAAGCATTTGTTTTTGCTGGCGAACTGCCTTCTCTGGTAGTACTGCAAAATGGATCTAAACCTTACACTAGGCTATGGCTATATCCTTCTTTTAGGGACCCTAATTGACATATCAAATTCCACATTAGCGAGCCAATGGAACTGGAGCAAAGTACTGTCTTTCCCCCCCCCCCCTCCCCAGATGTCAGCTGGTATTTGCATTCTATCAATTAGAAAAAGCAAATGTGGCTATTTGGGTAAGGAATGGTGTCCCTAGCCTCTGTTTGTCAGAGGGTGGCAATGGATGTCAGGAGAGAGATCACTTGATCATTGCCTGTTAGGTTCATTCCCTCTGGGACACCTGGCATTGGTCACTGTTGGCAGACAAGATACTGGGCTAGATGGACCTTTGGTCTGACCCAGTATGGCCGTTCTTATGTTGCTCATGGGGTGAGCATTTTCACTTAGTCATGCTGTGAAATAGGGGCCCTCTGCTGCAGATATGTGCCCACTGGCTAGCTCTCTCCTTTCCTGGGTCAAACAGGAATAGTTGGAGTGGGAGAGTAAACACTCCAATCTGATACTGTGTTGACCACTGCTTTGTCTTACATTCCCAGCCCACTACCTGCTTGCTCTGTGTCACCACAATTGCAGCAGCTCATTCTGCCCTGTCTTTCTCTGAAAAGTCTTTAAAGTTCTACTCTTCTGCTAGTGTCCTGAGCCACAATTTTTTGTGCCCTTAATCCCAGTGCAAAACATGCCTGGGTGTCAACAGAATTGTGTAGATCAGACGTAGTATGACCCTTCACTTTCACTGTGGAGACTTGCGTTCATGAATCACGGGTAGTTTAAACTTGGGCCGTCAACCTCAGCAATTTGCAGTGGCTCAGTGAAAACTCAACCAAATAACCTCAGAGCTGTTTCTTGCTGCCCCCTGCAAGCTGTTGTCTGAAACACTTCCATGTTTCCACTCTAAAGTGCTGTTTCAGAAAAAGGTCTCTGCCAATGTGTGACAACACACCAATCTGCTTACACAGATTGAAATAGTGATGGGTATTTCTAAAAACCATATTAAAACAGATTATTTAACTAACACTTAAACCTGTAACAAATTGGTTCCTTTCAAAAATTTTCTTTCATTTCCCAATATTAAAATAATAATAAAAAACCACCACCCGTCTCATCAGAAGCCAAGCGCCTATTCTCCCCTGCTGGATCTTCCAGCAAATTGCAACAGCCTCTACTTTTGGAATTGCAATCAGCTATCGGCCTAATTTTTCAGCTGTGATATTACATAGTCTGGGTGACTTGCTGTCATAGGCCCAATCAAGCACCCCCACTTGGCCATTCACCAGGCTACTTATCCCCATGTGTTAAGCATCTGGAATCTGAATAGAGTCCAGGCACTGTCCACTGACTTGGAGCTCCTAGGCAGGCCCTTATGGTGCCGTTCCTGTATCTGGCACCCCCTCAGGCCCTCCCTTCCAGCTTAAACACAACCTTTCCCAGAATCCCATTGCAGGTATGAGCCTTCTGGTTTACCTCTTCAAGGGGGCATGTGTTAAGTGTAACTTTTAAAATGCACAGATACTTTGCACCGGCTTCTAACACCACTGCTCGTGCTTTAACAAATAAAGCACAGAGTGTACAGATCCCTCACCCTAGCTCATCATTTCCTTGAGACATGGGCTGAGTTCAGCTAGGAAAGATTTCCCCTGCCTCAGACTCCTGCAACAACTTCTCTCTGAGCTGATGAAAATGGGCAAAGACCTCAAATAGATCAGCAGCTCCTGCCCTTTTATAACCTTTCAGTCTGTCAGGTGACTCCTGGATTAGCCTCAAGTGATCAGGCCTTTGCCACATGACCCACCTCCTCTGACCAACCAATTCTTCTGTGTGGAATCCAGCCTGTTGTCTCGGAGGCTCGTATTTGGCTAGAAAACCATCCTGAGTTAATGTCCTCTATTGTCAGCCCTGTATTGCTACCCCTTGGAGTTTCAGTCCAACAGGAAGGCAAATAGACACTAGAGATGACAACTAGTCCTAGCATACATAATAGAGTTTGCAGTCT